CAACGTGTTTTTTCGACCTGAGCATATAAAATATTAAACATGTAGTGGTGTTTGATTTTTCTCAATAATTCCGTCTATGTTTATTCACAAAAAACTGCGATATCAATATTTCCAAAAACAGAAGAAATTCGTTATAATTTTATACATCGTTCTTAGTACCGTCAAATAATTGATATTTATGTTGTATGGAGTTCATTTGAAGCAACTTCGATACGAAATACATAAATCAAATGTTGATTGTACTTGTTCTAAAATAAGACTGAAGTTTATGTGCAAAAAAAAAACGAAGCAAGGTAACCAGTCAGACTGATCATTTCCATGTGTATAAGAGATACTTGAGAAGTTTGATTTAATTGAAATAAAACTATAGTATTAATAAGCATCTCATATAGCTCTATGCCATCATCTATAAGTAGAACACAAAATTACCTACTAGAATTTTATGTCTCACAATCTCTTTGATTTTAAAACTAGAAAGTGTTGTTTTGATTCTGACTCTCATCTTCAAGTTTTTTGACATATATTGCTTTTCAATTAATAGTTTTCATCCACTTTTATAAGTCTCAATAAGTTTTAATTGAATATCACTCTTATTGATCCAATTATAGTTCTCATACCGTTTTACACGTATTTTTTTTTTGTCAATCGAAGAAAAGAAATAATACTAAAATGTATTTCTTCTAATTGCACTGAGACATTAACATATTCAAAATACATGACATTACGTGTAATAAAAATGAAAACTGATTAATAGTATTAAATTTAATCAAGATTTCGATTATAGCTAGATTCTTCTTTGATAATACCGAGATGCATGCACGATGGAAGAAATGAATGAGCAGAAATGTTATTATTTTTCGGGAGTTTATAAAACTGCATGGCACTTTTTATTAACTTCACCGGTTCCATTGACATAAAGAAAAGTCTACTTCGATAATTTTTTTACATACATGGAATTCAAACTATGAGCAGGTGTTATGAAGCGATTTGTCTGTTCCAAAAAGAAGCATTTAACAAAAAAGTCAATGTACTGATTAAGTACATTAAAAGTAATATTTGAATTGCAGGATTTTTCAACTGTCCATTCAAGATATAATCATAGAAGTATTGTTTCTAGTCTAAAGCTCAAGTCAGTATCAATATAAACCTTTGGAAAGTCTAGATAAACGAAAAAACCTTTCTTCTAGGATTTAACCATTTCAGAATGCGATATAATAAAAATTTGAAAAAGAAATCTTCACACTTATTGCTATTGAGATTCATGTTATGAGTTAAAGACTAAGTAGTTTTGGTTAGGAAGTTGCAAAAAAATAGCTAAAATCGTGATAAAATCTTTACGTTGGTTTTTTTTGTGAGAATCCTCAAAAATTTACATCTATTGAATAACCTACAAAACACAAACTTGCAACAATTTTAGATCAAGGTTTCGATAGGAGATTCGTATTGTCTTGTAAAGAAGCGAAAACACTTAATTGTAGAAAGTTTGAAATCGACCCGTGATAGAAACTTGACAGTATTAATTTATTTAGAAAGTTTTCTTTACTCGTGTTAAGATTCTCCGCTGATCTAACTTACAATACTTGACTTGATTCTCTTAACCCTATTAAGTTGAAAATTTGTAATAGATTAGAAATGAGTTCAGAATAAGAGATTTGATGATTCGTATATAGATCATTGTTTGTGCTATAATGTAAATAATGAACATGACAGATTCTTCAAATATTCTTGAACTTACTTAAGAAAATTATTGATATTTTTTCAATGACTCTACTCTATATTGACGTGGGAGAGATTTGTTTGAGTTCTTTTCATCTACTAAAATTTGAACTTACGCATTTTTTATCTAAACTTATCTTATTTAGCACTTTGATTGGCCTTTCTACAAATAATTAAAAACAATCTATTGTTCAGTTCTGTTTAAATTCAATAGATTGGTTCAATATTTGCTTGTTTGTTTGAGATTCATGAATAAAACAAACATTTTCAATTCTATTTAAGTGACCGATCGAATTATGGATAGAAAGATTGATTATAGAAAAATTACTCAATAATAAGACAACACTTAACGTATGATGCAAAAATTAATGGCATAAAATACTTTCGAATAGTGTATGATTTATATTTGTCACACATTCGTAAATGGAATGAGAGGAATAAGAAAGAAAAATACTTGCACAAAATATTTGCAATTTTTATATGAATCAGTCAAAAACGTTTGATGGATGGTAGTTAAGTATAATTAACTATCGTTCTACAAGCTGTTGTGACGAGTTTATAAAACTCGAAGCAACTACAATTTTACAAGGGCTTTTTAATGAATATGGAAAGATCAAATG